CTGAAGGAAGATTATCTGGGTCACTTACTGCTCCCTCAATTTAAGACAGGACAACAATCGAATTGAGAAATAGCCAAAGAATTTAAAATTACCAGTGCTTCAACTTCACGAAAAATTATTTCTGAATTTTTTATTAGAATAAAAGCATTAAAAGAATCATGTAACCGAAGTTGGCCAAAAGTGTAGAAATAAGTTTCCTTATTCTAAAAAACGGAATCGATTTTGTTCAAGGATATCAATCTTGAAAAAGAACAAAGTTTGGCAATTAGAGAAAAATTTCAAATCGCAAAGAAAACTTCGTTATTTTGAAATAAGGTTTTCTTTTCTTTTTATTAATAATGCGTGGAAAATTCCCTACCAATTTCATGAATTGCAGATCTTTGCCAGTTGAATACTTTTCCCATTCTATAATATCTGTGTTATTGATTAATAAATATTGGATCTTACAGAAATTTCTCGTTGTTGAACACCAAGGTTATGTGTTTAACATTTGACAACTTGGACTGATTAAATCATAGGTCAGACAGTTTCTTCGTTGTTAATGAAAACTCTGCTATTATCCATTTCTACTTAAATACTGGCTGTAATGTCAATGCAAATTTTCAGAAATAAAGCAGTTTCTTGCTAAGAGGAAGTGTTCCCGAAACGCAATTGTGCTCAATTGGGAGTGTGCGTGGTGCACCCTGGGCAACATATACACATACGGCAGTCGATATTTTGACTCCAAACTCTCATAACCCGACTCAATGTCATACTCGACCACTTCCACAGTACTCACCTCAGCTTTTTCCCCAACCTTTGTGTCTGCCTGTCTCCTTTGCATCTGTGAATCCCTTTTCCGCCCCCCCCCCCTCCACTTTTTGTGCCTTTGATGTTCCACCTCCTCCTCCTCCTCCCTGTGAAGCCCGAATTCAGCTAAAGGGCTAATGATAACTATCAAAACGCATGCCGATTGAAATCAATAAATAAATAATCGGTGCTCATTTGTTCACCTTAGCTCATATACTGCAAGAATATGCGAAAATTGCATAGTCGTATAAAGTGCTTGAAACCATTTTGTCTGGATTTCACTTACGCAGAAGATATGCTAAAGTTAACCAAAACCAAAGTTCCATTCTCTTCAAACTCTAAATGAAACATTTAGTTTAAATTGTTCATTCAAGGAAATTTTTTTATAGATTTTTAAACAAAATGCTGCCATTCGTCTTCAGAAAACTTGAAATGATTATTTTAACAAAATGTATTCTCGAAATAACGAAATTTCTCGGTTCACATTGTGCGAACAGTGTACAATATGTAGCTATTTCTACATTGAAGATGCAAAAGTATAAGACCCTCAATAACTGAGTGGACTTCGGTTATGCAAGTGCGTGGCCAGTGTGTCTTTTCTTTATGCACACTTATGACATTTTGAACTCATTATGCGAAAAGAATTAATCAATTGGCATTATGCAAATTCAACATCCAAATAAAAGTGAAATAATTAATTAAATTTTTCGAGATGGGAATTGATTTTATGGAAGTTTATTTATTTCAAATGGCAGGCGTTATGATAGGTATCATTAGCCCTTTAGTTGACTTCGGGCTTCACAGAAAGGAAGATGAACATCCAACTGGTAAAAAGTGGAGAGGGGGACAGAATAATGATTCACAGACGTAAAAGAGACGGACAGACACAAAGGTAGAAAAAAGGTGAGGTGAATACTGAGGAATTATTCGAATATGAAATGTAATGGGATTATGGTAGTTTGAAGTCAGAAGTCAACTGCCGATAAATAGACTTTTTTGCCGTATGAGTATACGTTGCCCAGGGTGCACCACGTGGAGGTAAGTCTATCACACACCCCATTTTATGGAAGTAAAAGTTACCATGAATTCCAGTTATTTCCAATTATTGGGGCCTAATATGGACAATTACAATCCCTATTGACACTCAATATCTGGGAAATAACGGCAAATCGCAATTAAAGGTAAACAAATCTTTGACTATTCTACGCTCGCCACAATTTCATAAATTTTTAAAAAAATCAACCGCTAGTTATATTACTAGGAATGTGACAAGTGTGCTCAGGAAAGTCGAACGTAGAATGTGCATCAATCGATTGCTTTCGAGGCTTTATAATTTGAATATCTTTGAATATCTTTGCTCGTGGTGCATCCTGGGCAACGTATACTCATACGGCAAAAAAGTCTATTAACTGGCAGTTGACTTCTGACTTCAAACTACCATGACCCCACTGTTTGTCATATTCGGCCACTTTCACAGTACTCATTTTACCTTTTTCTCTACCCTTGCGCCTGTCTCTTCTACATCTTTGAAACACTCTGCTGTTCCTCCCCCCCCCCCACTCACGACTTTTTTCACTTTGATGTTCTTCCCCTCTGTGGAGCCTGAAGTCAACTAAAGGGCTAATGATAACTATTTGATAACCATTTGATATAAATAAATAAATAATTTGAATATCTTCGTCAACATGATCTCTTTACCGGTCTTTCGTTTTCTCTAAGGTGTGCCTCGTGTCCAATCCAATCCTTAATTCTCCCTCCCCCTTGCCCCACTTGAAGGACTTTAGAAGATCATCAATTTAGCAAAATATCCACCCAACTTTTCAATTTTTTTCCAACAACCTTATCGGCTGCATATGGGTCAAATTCTACCGTTAAATAATATGACTTATATAACTCAGATTCCAGTCTCACAAAGAGGGCATATCATTTCCCAAATATAATCATGTGACCTTGGGTATAAACTTTAAAGGCTAGTGTCGCTCTCGAACTCATACTAAAAGAGGCCTTTCAAGCACAAACAAATAATACTGACATCTAAAAGCGTTTACCATTTAATAATTTTTGGATAAATTTGCACTTAGGGAAAAGTTCAAGAGATTATTAATAAACCATATTTTATTATTGTTATTCTAGATACTGTTGCTATATATATTTGGTGACCCAAAGTTTCCACGTCCATTTTCCATTATTCCTCCCACCCCTTCCTCCTCCTCATGACATGGGAAAAGTGCAAAATTTTCAGAACCTTGGAATATTCTTCCTCTCATATCCAAAAAAGGAGCTCAACAATCTCAAATCCAACATACTGATGAATTCGGGTGAAGTAACTTGAACCACATTTGTTAAAAATGGTTCAATATAGAACAGTTTGACATTTCTTATTTGAAATTACTGGATTGGTTTTTTTCATTTTCTGCATTGTGTCTGCGTTTTAAAATTGAATTTCTCATCCTAGACTTGTTTGAAATTTAAATAAAATAATTAATACGTTAACGAAACATTAAGACTACAATTATAAGAGAAAATATTCAAAAATTATTGTAAATATATATATATATATATATATACTGATCTCATTCAATTTACGATAAAGTCTATTAATTAAACAAGTTGAAATTATTTCCCCCCCACACAAACGTTAGCTTAATCATCTCTCTCTTATTATATAACCTTTATATATTGAACAAAAGGTGATTCAGCTTCGTTTAACTATTTAATTGGCATGAATAATGTCTTTCATTCGCCTTTCATTCAGCCATACAATTATTCTAACTGATAAATCTAACTGATTATTTTCACGTATTTCCTTTCACATAGCGTTTTATGGAAACTCAATTCAAGTGCAAGCATTTAATAATTATGAAGGAGGTTTGAGATATAAATGCCAAATTTAACACACAAATATTTATAATTGAATTTAGGACATGAAACCTGTGTGGAAGACAGGTAAACACTTAAACAGAGTTCGAGAAAAATTATGTTAAGGGAATTTCTTGAAACACACTGCGAGTTAGAATTGAGAAGCACTATTAAATAAAAGTGGTTTGAGGTCAAAAGGCTATGAAGATGATCACCAGAGAAGCCGTTTTCAATTTTCATTTTTTTCTGTGTAACGAGGACTAAATAACACCCGATGAAACACCGAATTGGTCCATTGACATCCCCTTCACATGCCACGCTATCTCACCGATTTGTAATGCTACCCTCCACCTACCCGCCATGTAAAATAATGAGCTAGCCTTACGAATAGTCTCGTGCAAGAGGATGAAGAGTTAAGATCTGAGTCCTCCTCTAGAACGGCATTGTAAATCGTCCTGAATTTCTGTCACCTTTGTTATTTCCGCAAGACTGCGATAGTTTAACACAGTATGCTGCTTCATTCAAAGCATTATAAGTGTCGATTCAGATGTTCTTCTCCATCCCCCCCCCCTCCTATCAAGTGATGTCTGAAGTTCACAATTCAGGTTTTTACCGAATCGATTTGATGAACTTTTGATTGAGAATGATATGGAGGGAAGTGGACGCGGGTGGCTCTTTAAAGGGAACAGAAAAGAGTTGGTGTTCTTTATCAGTATACGTGGTGAAGACAACCGATAAAAGCAGTAGTTGTAGAGGACCTCCATGGAATGACCTTGAGCCGCTTCGAACGCGAATCTATCATGAACAGTCGATGAACTCAGAACAATTTTGTAACACATTCGGCAGCTGTAAGATCGAGAATTTCAATTGATGCAGTAGGTTTGATAGAATAAAAGAATGGAGCAGAGGATATGTTAGTAAGAGGAGAATTATCGTGTTTAGAATCTTCGAATTCAGCCGGAAGAGTCTTTAGTCCAGCCGACAGCTATAACTTTACTGAACAAATTCTGCTTACCCTAAAATTTTCTCAAGCCTATTGCATACAAACACCCACAATTTTGTGCCTTTCAAAAACTAAGCAAATTAGCAAATAATCACTAATACAATTTATAAAGATGCCAAAACTGTCGCTTTAATTTCCTTCGCACAACAGGTATTTCATTTTATCCCAAAGAATCTTCGTATATGGCTCTCATGCAAAGAGAAATCAAATTAGTACCTTTTAATTACTTACTAAATGTGATGATTTAAGATACAGAAAGGGAGATGAAAAGAAATGCAGATAGAGTGCAAAAAGTGTTAGCATAATGATCCAGCTATGAATGGAGAGATGATAAGGGCTGTCATGCAAATTAGAATGGATACTTAGAGATGGAGATGTAGACATAGAAGGAGTGCTGGAAAATGAGCTTAGAAGCATCTACGGATGTTGCACTTGTCTCAAAAGGTTGTCTGCCGACTGGATAGACGTCAAAGTCCTCTGGATCGATCATTGTGTGCCAGGGGTGGCCTTCATAGCACGATACCCTAAAGTGAAGATAGTAGAGACCTTGTGTGGGTCCATCCAAAGAAGCTTGAAATACCTCCTTTGAGGGGTCGGTAAATGCTGGTGAACTCCAATCTGGAACCAAATAAACAACTCCATTCTTGGATCTATGATTTACTGGCGTATTAGCAGCCTTATCCAGTAACTGGTAATGACAGTTGGCTTGCTGAACCTATTGCGAAAGAATTTTCCAATAACTGAGTAATCAATATTCATATAAGAGAAGAAGGAGGCATCTTACTTGATTGGAATCAAATACGCGAAGCATTATATTGCGGCCGGTAGTACTGTTGGATCGTGGGATGCTCACAGAGATGTACTGAACAGAATCAGCGTATTTGGCTCCCTTTGGGCAGGGTAGATCACTCTCCGAACAGAGAATTCGGCATGATCTAATGAATTGAAAACAATATGTACATGAATTGACAGAGGCTACTTCAATGAAACTTGGCTTAATTCACTATATTATTTGTGCTAAAGCACTGACAATGAATATCAATACGTGCTGATTCATGGAAAAGCATAGCGCACGCACAAACCTATCTTTGGGAGAGATAAATGCCATTTTAATCCTCTGATCGTACTTACAACTGATTTTGCGATTTAGTGCACTCTATTGAAAATACAGTTGTATTAACTTCCGGACGAATGTGCACAATGGGTACGTTTATTTATAGTTAACTACCATTATGCGATTACAATAGAAATAACGTATTAGTCAATTAGTTTCGAAATGATTTTTGCGAGTATTTTTCTTGATTTTTCTCATCACTACTAAAAACAATCTCTTCATCAATGGAACATAAAGATAAGTTTTAAATCTCTGATATTGATTTTTTTAAATAAGATTAAAACGAGGTGCTAAATGTCATTGACTAAACGATATATTTGTAATTCCTACAAAATGTTTCATTATGGAAAATTTATGGAAATATCAATCAATTTAGGAACAGTAAATTTTTAAAGGTTGTCACAATACTCTGGGAATAATATTCACATCAGTCGACATTGAAGACCAATTTTTTAATACAATCCGCGAGAGTATTCCTCTGCAACCATATTGACGAGGGAAGAATATCAGAATGCTGAAATTCTACTTATCTTAAGCGCATCAAAGAGAGATGCAGCAAAATGCAGCGAATAATAGACTTATCCATCAAGACGGCACCAAATTCAAAACAAGTCTTATTGGAAAACCTTTGTAGAAATCTTTAAACAAAGTTTCTCTAAAGTAGTTTGCAAAGAAGGAGAAATATCTCACCCATGAGACAAGCCTCTATAACCTTGGCTACAAATTACATTATTTTAGCTATGCATTGACTAATCCAAATGTATGATTGGAAGAGATTACGTGGCTGTTACAGTTTCCACCCATTTCGGTAAACAGTACCATTTCATTAATTTCCTTTCTGATTAAAATATGTTGCAATTTACTTTAAGAATAAAATTGAGGAAAATTTATTTCAAGAAAAATAGCTTAATTAGGACCAACATTTGTTGGAAAAAAGTCACCATCCGATATATATATATGTATAAACTTCAACAACACTGTCGTTATCTCCCTTCGCGTCAATTTTATTTAATTAATAGCTTTAAAGCAAAAATGAATCATTTCACAAAAGATTGATTGCATTTTTTCCAATTCTGCAAAAAAAACCTGATTTAGGAAGAAAAATGAGGAAATCACAAACTGAAAACAATCTCATGCATTATAAGCTCATTTCTCTACAATTAGATTTTTACTAAATTTCACAATCATCCCCACGCCCCCACCCGCCCTCCCCCACGCCACACAAAAGGGGAGAGAGAGAGAGACTTGGTGATTCTCTAATTTCGTGTGCCTTCCAATAAAACCGTGGTAATAAAAACAACAATTTGGAGATATTAATTGTTAAGAGTATTTGAAGCAATAAATATCGCTGCGTTTATTGCTCACGCATTTTAGTGGGAAATATATATATATATATATATATTAGAAAGCCGACGAAGGTCTCTTTTTTTCGTAGAATTCGTGGCATGACATTAAGATGTGAGCAAATGAAAAGATGGACTCAATTTAAGATGGAAAATTGGAATGGAGAGGTGATAGTCAAGGGGCAAACAAATAGATCATCAATAAATGTTTGTAATTAAATGTTACAATAATCGCATTTCCATGAGCACAATTCTCTCGTAGTTACCTTGCGTAAAACAAGGAATAAAATATGAAATTATTTAGTTCGTTATTTAGCAATCACTCGTCAAAGTTGGCTGCGTGATGCATAGGTGGAGTTAGGGGGAAGTGGATTTTAAAAATTTGGCATTTTTCATCTTTTATTACCTACCTCAGATGGTCTAGTGTATATTTGCATAAACCTTAGAACGCACAATAGAATTAAATATAGTTAATTTCAAAAACATTGAAATAAAGGTATTTTTGTTCCTAATGAATTCGAGTCGATTATGAATTCAGACAGTTGACAGTTTAATCATGCTTATATTTTACAAAAGTATAAGCTATTATGAGCGATTGTCATATCATAATTGACTAATAAGACACTAATTCATTTTATGCTCTTAAATTATTTTCAGCTAATTCATTCTTCATTAATAATCTCACAGTGTTGGAGCATCGTTTTTCCTATTGACGATTTTCATACAGTGAGAAACATTTTACTTCATCTTGTGAGCGTCGAGATTTTATGGAATGAGATTAACAAAGACCTCTATTAAGTCAAGATGAAATATATTTGAACTTTATATTTCGTCGTTGTTTTTTCAAAAAATTGTATTTTACCCTAGTTAAGGTTGCGTAAAGTTCATATTGTAAGTAGTCATTACCACATCATTCCACAAAACTTACTGAGAACTAGCATCCCATTGGTAGCTGTTAGGGCAGTCCGGTTTGATGCAAATATGACTTCCTGGAGTGTTGATGCAAAGATCACCGTGATTGCACGTATTGATCAAAGTTTTGCACTCATTAATATCTAAAATCACAAAGACAGAGAAAAAGGTAAGATGAGTACTGCGGAAGGGGTCGAATATGACAAGCAGTCGGGCCATGGTAGTTTGAAGTCAGAAGTCAGTTGCCGATTAATAGACTTTTTGCCGTATGAGTATACGTTGCCCAGGGTGCACCACGTGGAGGTAAGTCTATCGCCCACCCTCTTTTACATCTGTGAATCACTCTTCTGTTCCCCACCCCTCGACTTTCTTCTACTTTGATTAACCTTCCCTCTATGAAGCCCGAAGTCAGCTAAATGGCTAATGATAGCCATCAAAACGGCTGCCATTTAAAATAAATAAATAACATCTAAAATCAATGTAATGCTAGTTGTCATATCATTTTCAATGCTAATTATACCGTTATATCTCAAATAATGTACTAATTTAGTCTTTGGGAATACCCCTCAAAAAGGGATTAATCACTTCTCCGTTGATTCGATCAACTCTACGGCGTTAATACCAACGAGTAGAATCAGATTTAAGCAGAGAGATAACTTAAAGTATTTACCTTTGCATAGATTTGTCATTGGATTCACTTCATAACCAGGAGGGCAGGAACACGTAAATCCGCCGAAAGTATTGTGACATTCATATTGACATGGATTTGGACCATAAGCAGGGTTACATTCATCAACATCTGGAAGTATAACAATGCCTACATTAATACCTTAGGGCAAATGATAAATATCATAAAGCCTGCCATTTGAAATAAATAAATAAATACCTGATTTCAATGCATAATTCTCAAAAGATTTAACATCATCGGGGAATGACTAGTCTAACAGCATTGTCAGTATTTCAATAACTTCTGATTAATAAACTGGTACTTTCACCTCTAACCTAATCACTCGCAATGATTTATTCAAATTTCAATAAGCTAGTATGACAGATCTTGTTGTCAAACGCGCAATGAGCCTAAAATGTCTCAATTCTTTAAGTAACAGCTTTGGTGATCTCAGTAGTTTTGAAGTTTGCCGGAAAATGTTCAAACAATTAGGTGATGTAGTGTTACAAACCATATTAGAGTTTCGAAATAGCGACAAATTCAAGAACGGGTAAATGACCCTTAGAGTAGGCGTTACTCCAACATTAAGCAAGACAACGATCCTGCAATTTAGCTAATTATTATATTGCTGCATTTATTCCTGGATGAATCAAATTCACTTGGAGACAAGAAGTACACTTTCCCATTTTTTGTGAACGGTATTTTAAGGAAGGTGATTTTAATGAAGTGGAGCGGGTTAGATGGTACCCGTATCAAGAGAGAAGCACGTTGCGTTATTTTCTTCAAATGCATAATCCCTTTTTAGCAAAAACCTTGCTCAGTTTGTTTCTGTTTGCCTAGTACCTTTTTAGTTCCCTGTCATTTGCCTCCGTTTACCACCTACGAATTTCGTCCTATACTGATCTGAATCTTCGTCAAAGTTTGCTTAGATTTATGTGACTAAGGTGATTGCAACGATCAACTCAACCATAGTCACTTCGTATGAATGACAATTTCTATCGTAGTATTGAATCTCTTATGGCTACATCTCAAGAATCCCATCCTAAATTTTATAAACAGTTGTAGCCTACCCGTCATGGAACTCATTTAAACGGTCAACAAGATCTGAATGTGGGAGATTTAACCTTGTCCATAAATATGGGAGTCAATAATGCGGATTAGGATACCATAATGTTGACTCAATCACATATGTGACTATGAGAAGCGCAATGCCCTAGAATTCCAATGCGGTGAAATACGAAATGCTCTGAAATCGTCGTCTACTAATTTATTGATCCATTTCTCACTCTCTCTCTCGCTCATAACTTATTGAACTCAGTTTCCTTCTTAGATGGCTATTTAGTTGATTATTTATATTCATGGAGCATTTATTGCGTTTGAATTGATTTCACACTTTCTTCTCGTGAATGGATCCAGTTGCATTTGTTATTTTCCAACCACAGAGCTATATCATCGACAGTGTAGAGATTTGAAAATAGGTTTTATTCTAACGTATCTTTCTCTGGAGTTTTTACTAGACTAAATAAAAAAGATTACTTAGACTTAAATATTTTGTCTGTTTTTGCTCAAAATTAAACAAATCCGACTTACCGACACACTGACCAGAAGAGGGATCCCATGTGAATCCAGATTCGCATGCTCTACTTAGTTGACCTGGAAAGAAGGAAATTGTGATTTGAATTCATTTAACAATTAGCATGAAAGAGTGCGAATGAGCTTTAGCTAACTCATTGCCTTTTATCTTTAAACATCCTCATTAAAACACACACACACACTCTCACACAACTTTACCGTCAAAGCAAATTGGAAAGCTGACCGACTGACGCAATATTGACAAGTTCCAACTCTTGCAGCACAGGCGAAGCACACAAACGCAAAATCTATTTGAAGTACCTCGGTTGTCTAAACTTACTTCAACTGTGGTTGCATTTTAGCAAGGTCGCGAGTTAACTTCGTTAAATGCAAATAAAGACTTAAAATCGTAGAGCCATACCATATTGTGTCTTTTGTTTGTTAGTTGACGTGGATAAAAAGTTGCCTAACCATTGTAGTGTGCCAAAAAAGATGGCCTTGCAACAACAAGTATGCACTGCTTAAATGGCATTTAATTTAAAGAAAAAAGTTTCTCTTTAACAAGATGTAGAGATGTAAACTTCAGATAAATGAAGTGCATTTCAAAAGTATGATCATGAGACCATCTCAAGTGTGTTCCCTACAATTGACGAAAGCAATGATTCCTAAAGTGCAGTAGAGTTTATGGTTACGAATTGCACATTTGATTAAATGTTTGAGTTGAAGCCTTTGAATCGAGATTATTCAGATGGAATAGCACACAGGGTAATGAAGTTGCGAGGGTGCTTCTCGTTCGAAATGACTTAGTGGACAATTTTCTGAAGAGCTACTTCCTGTGGATATGGACGCCTCTAGTTATATTAAGATGATAAGTTGATAGTAGATGTTTCAAATCAGTTTTTCGTCGTAATTATTGGGTGAAGAAGTGAACTGAAGTGACAAGAACGACCAACATGACTGCGAACCGGCCAGTAAGCACTAAACATCGTGGACTAGTGCTTGCTACAATCCAGGAGACAAATAATGAAATTTAAAGTCTGGATAGACTAATTTTGTAAATAGGGTTTAACAATAATCCGAAAATGAAATGAAGTGTGGCTCTTTGATAATTTGACGTTGTTATCAAGGCTTCTGATCCCCGTTCGCATTACTACCTGTTGAGCGTTCTTTACACCGACCTTTATTTCTAACACGAAACATTGCAATTTCATGTTGGTGACAATAACAGTGCCTTCAATATTTGCTTTCAATCAACATCTTTTGAATATTAATCACACATTTGCCATCTATTGCATTCGATACTTGACGACTATCCGTTTTCATGCACTGTAAGAGTGATTAACTATGAATAATGTAAAGGTTTCTTTCGATCCAGACTTGTATGCTAATCTCAGCCTTCAAAAATTTCCGGAGTCATAAAATTCACTACTAAAAATGCTTTGAATAAGATTACATCAATTAATGGTGAAAATTATTTCAGAAAGATTAGAACTCTTAAAAATATTAACTCATCTACAAATAAATAGGCATTAATGAAGTGAAAACAGAAAAAAACTTATCTTGGGCTAAATGAAAAGTAGAATATTCCGATTTCAGTTGCACATTTATGATACAATTAAATAAAACAGGTTAATGCAAACAAACCTAGGCAAGAATGTCCAACGAGTGCTTGTCCGTCAGGGCACTGACAACGGTAAGATCCGGGTTCATTGACACAGAGTGCTTCCACAGGGCAGACATTTTCGTTGGTTGCGCATTCGTCGATGTCAATACAATTTGGAACACCTCCAGCTAATTCACCAACAAATCGATATCCACGTGGACAAACATGACGGCATTCAAAGGAACCGGGTAGATTTACGCAGGCCTCATTGCTTCTGCACCGTGATTCTCCAATCTGACATTCATCAATATCTGTCAAAAGAATACAATTATGTTAGATATTTCGGTAAAGGTTACATTGAACTATCTATGACAGACAGGAATAGCATAACTAGGCGAAATAACATACCAACACATTTGTTGTTGACTACCTCGAAACCTGATCGACAGACACAGGTGTATCCACCGTAGGTGCTTATACAACGATGCCCAACGCCGCAAACATCCTTGTCAGAACGACATTCATCAATATCTACAAGATGAAAAACATATGATATTTGCTTCATTTAATCATTTATTAGACCTTCTTCTAAGATATTTTCGTAGTTATCCCAACTAAGAACGCTTGATTGAAATATCATTGAAAGTAACCAAATATAAAAGAATGAAATCAATTTAACATATTTTATTTATTTTCTTCCCACTTTTTTTCTGACAAATCGTAAAATGACATAGTCGTTTCTAATCTAATAACTGTGTTTATGCTTCCTGTTTGAATTTTTATTCTAAAATTAAAAGCTCGCCTCATATTCCATATTTAATGTCCGCAGATATTTCTCTTGAGACGTGACATTAACTTTAATCACCAGTATCTGGAGGATAAACTACCTTTATCTTGGTCATATCCACGATCTCAAGGTCATTTGGGAAAACGCTTTCAAACATCTGTTCGGAGTGAGGAGGAGTATTAGAAAGATTCCCAGAAATTTCCTCATTATAAAGCAGACTTACTTAATACTGTTTACCATTCTACTCACAAGGTGTTCCCCAACGTGCATTAAATTAGTAACCATGATCTTTTCAAATGGACCACGACCTGCAATTAAATCGCATAAAGGCCAAAAAAGCACTCTACATCTATCTATTAAGACCTGGAGTAGAATTGATTTAGTCCCTTCACTGTGGAAGAAGTGCAAAGTCATTTATTAAAGTCGGACTCTGCTCAAGCAATCCACATGGAATGCTCGTTATTTATTGTGACATTCCGCAGGAATTATGCGAGAATAATACATCCATCAGCATTAGCATGCTATAATTTAACATAGTTCCCTCGGGAATTGCACTTTTACTGGATCAGTTTGTTTATGAAACTGTGGGGGTTCGTGTCCCACAGAATGTTCCTTTAAACATTGCCTATTTACTAGACAGGCAGTAGACACAACACTTGTATGAAAAACCCTTCTCCAAATCATATTTAAAATTAATGGTAAAATGCTGTCACAAATTAGAATTGATAGCACACTAGAACTTAATTTCATGAAATTACTAATACATAATAACCTAGACATTTTAATGGGTAAAATTTTGAAACATTTATCAAATAACTAAGAGTTACAATATTTGTGTACTGGAAAAAAGAGTACTCATTTATGGCAAGATGGAGATTGAACGAGGCTGCGTTGCCAATTGGGACAGAATAGAGGATGGAGAAAAGGGGGAAATAAGACCCATCTTCATAAATATTGTTTCTTCCTAATCTTGCCGCTCCACCCTAACCAACCCATCCTCCGCCCCCCCCCCCCCCCCCCCCCCCCCCCCCACCTCCTTGCAGTGCATTTTCTCCTTTATTTTCACCCGTTCGAATTTCTTCGATATTTTTTTGACCAAGCCTTTCATGTCCTCAAATGTATGGCAAAGAGGATGAGAATAAAGAGAAAGAAAACTGAGGTGCGTCAAAGCGACCTTGAGCATACTTTTAAATAAATGGCCTTTAATTTTCTCTTTGATATTGGGGGCTGACGTGATTCAAATTTCAAATTTTTCCACAATTATAAATTGGACAGTAAAATGCGTTTTTTGTTATTGAAATTTGCCTTTATTAGACTGGCAATACATAGGCCTCTCTATAAACTGAATGCCAACAAACAGCCCAAATTTTCTGTGTGTAGTAGTATATGCTTACCCAAGCTTATGGAAAAGACCTACCTCCTGTCTCAAACCAAACGAGTCTTTCAAACAAGATTATCACGAAATTTCAAAATCCTTCGACTAGAAGAAAATATGATCTGTTTAAAGACTCCATCGTGAGTTCTAGAGATGCTCAGAATTGAAAACTGTTACGTTCTACAGTACCTGAAACAATGAAACCGAGAACAATTTCAACTTTAAACTCAGACACTCTCTATTTTAAAATCCCAACGACCATAAATAAATCATGAGAAATTCATTTTAGCAAAAGCCTGGTCGGAAAAAGAGTTGAAATAGCTTACTCTCGCATGTATCACCGGATGCTGAAGGTTTTTGGCCCTCGCCACAACCCTCAACACAACTGAAAGTCCCCGGTTTGTTGATGCATCGCTGACCCGCCAAACATACCAGAATACCCGCGTTCTCGCCCTCTGTGCACTCATCTATGTCCAAACATGATCGGCCGTCAGGTGATAGACGATATCCCTCATGACACTTGCAACGATACCCTGGTGATGTATTCTCGCAGACTTGATCGCAGGTATTTAACCGAGGGTTTATGCATTCATTCACGTCTTTAAAATAGAATAGGAAGAAATCAAATGATATGACATTGTTACTAATTGATCATTTAAGTAGACTACTGAGTAAACATACCTCGGCAGTAGTCGAGGTTAACGGATCCCAGGACCTGTTTTCGGCCATCCATACGGGCCTCCACAATTTCAAAGCCTTCAGGACAGACAGCTCCACTGACTTTAGAAATGGCAGTATTTGCAGTCAACGTGATGATTCCTCTTGCCGGATCACTTGAAACCGTAAGACCATCAACAAAAAGCATCTGAGAGAGGAAACGCTGACGATGACCTGCTGATATAGTTAGATCGGAATTCCATCCATAGGGTTCTGTGAGTCTACGTCCATTCGTCCAATCCACAACGCTGTAGGTGCGTGAAGAAAAGGCATGCAGCTTGCCTTTAGGATAGAAGACACGTTAGTTTAGCTCTCAAAGTGAAAGTTATATATAAAACCCACAGTTTCCCTTTCAATAGTTAGCTTCCATAAGAATACGACGTTCCGAGTCTGAGAAGCCCACACTTGTCTTTAGTTAATCGTATGTTTTACGGAAACAACGTTAAATTACAGGAGGTGCAAAATTAATGGCTTGGACGTAACTCGTTACCTTTTTGTTGGTAGCTACCACTATTTTACCAGCCTTTCACTTTCAGTCATAAGCTTTCTGATTTCATTGCAACTATATCACTCCTGAGGCCTATTAGATGTTGTGGGCATTTCATTAACTGCCAAAGATGTAAATATGCAACATCTTCAGTTTAAAACTAATTCAATCCAATGAAAGATCAAGCTCAATTGTGATTTATGGCAATTATTTGAATTAGCGAAAAAAAGTTATCTGGATAAAAATACCTCAATTATTAAAATAAAGCTAACTTTTGGTTTGAATAATTCTCGTTCAGTGATAGAGATAAGGAAATGCTAAAAGCAATTCGAAAGCGAACCTAAATTTTAAGTTAGTTAGCGTTGAATGTAAATTGTAAGCACATTGCGTTGGAGAGAGCACCAAATTTGTTTTAAATTCTGTTCAAAATTAGGTGGGCGTTTGGAAAGAGAGAGAGGAGGAGAGTGAGTGAGTGAGTGAGTGAAGGAGAGAAAAGGAGAGCAGTTTCCTGCTGGAATTTCCTGGCCATTGGGGAATTTTCACTTCTCTCTCTCCCTCCCTCTCTTTATCAATCCAATACTTTTACACACAGAATCACATGAGGAGAGGGATTTTTAACTATTAACAATAACTGAACAATCTTCCCACCAATCACATTAAAAATAATTTAAATAGTTAAGCAGTGTTGAATTGTTTTTTAATATAGTGCCAATGACCTTGAATTAGAGTTTCTAGGCTAAACAAATACACAAACCAGTAAAAAGTTAGTTACAGAAAAATATAGAGAGACGGGCGAGTTGTTTGCAGTGTTCAATTATGCATTAAAATTATTTTTTACTTTTTTAATATTGCATAATAAAATGGTGGAGCAAACTTTTAAGAAAAAGGCAAAAGCAAGATTAGGTTAACCAACACTACTATGGAATTCGGCCTCCCCTCAAAAAAAGAAATTCAGTCTGCATATTAAACCAGTTCGTACAACTGTTGCTGAAAATTCATTGACGCCAAGTCAACCACATACAGACAAACTTCCTGCTTTTGGAAGCTCATTAAACTTAGTTAACTTAAAAATTTAATGCACAGCTTGGATTGTAAAATTATGACATAAAATGTAGTTTAGTTCAAAGAGAACTGTTGTGAATCGTGTTATTTTTTCATGTGTTTATAGCAAGATTGGCGACTTTATGATTGTCTACCTTACTTAAATTGTTTCTCGACGTTAATATTCCTTTTTTATAAACATTTAAAGTTAACATAATCTTATGCTAGTGTTTGTAAAATCAAGCCTACTAAATTGTGATTTAAATTTTCACATGCATTAGTGACAAGAACCGGCGTATTTTCATGTATAAGTCCAGTTTCTTGACATTTTCTGATGTACTTTTCTACCATTCGATTATACCTAGACAAATTCTGTTGGATCAAAAGAGATAATTGTTAATACTGCATCAGGCATGGCATTTAGTCTCAAGTTAAACAGAAAATTTGTCAATACTTGATTGGCGAGCTGGTTTATAAGAGCCATACCTTTAGAGGGATCAAGTTGAACGACCTGTTCCTTGAAGTCGCTCAATTCAACCTTAGCTCCAGCACTCCAAGTATTCTCATCCCCATCTTCAACAGTGTCTGGACGAAGTGAAATGGGACAATCGCCGTTGATGGTCGTTTCCATTCGCAATACAACACCCTTGTCAAGTTCGTTGCCAAAGTTATCATCCACACGACGCAGTGATTGTTCTAAACGGACATTTGAGCTGTCTGCAAATTGACCTAGACTGTTCCAGGTGAAATCACCATTTCTAATAGTTACATATTCACCGTTGGAGGCACTCTCAATCTGTTAAAAGGAAATTATTTATTTAATTTCACCTAACATATTCTGTACTTTAAAGCAGAATTAGATGGTCTTTAGCCAATGAGCGTAACATCGTTTTTATCTCCAAAAGCAAACTGTTATAATCCACCTGGAAACCGATATACTTCGTCTTTTCCGGTAACAAAATTGTTTCTCCTCTATGGAATATGCTTTTATTTTTGCTTAAATACAAAGTGACGATGAAAAAAAAGTATAACGCATTTTCTCCTTCACTGAGTTTACTGGCTTGTCAGAATAAAAGGGCAATTTTCCTAACACCATCTCGCATATCTTATGAGGCAATTTCGATGAACAACTTTTCCTGTTAATAATTCAAGCAGTACCTCTGCAAAAAATTACTTTCTGTTCAATCAAACCAAGACTTGATGAAATATTTAGACTTGTCATTAGGTAACAAATTTTATATTCTGTCGCTTGAAATAACATTTCTTTGAGTTTGAAGCTATTTCAAATGTCTTGATGTCATGCATGTCTCGACCTATCATACAACAAGGCAAGAATAATAAATACATTATGGATGAAAATAAAATTTCCAAATGATAAATGTAAAAAAACACCTTTTCGCATCATGTGCATTCATTCACCACAATTTCGAAATATACATACCTCTTTTGCGGCATACCAGAACGCGGGTGATGCCATTTCTGAAAGAACTTGTAGACACAACGAATGCTCTGGTGGAACATTTTTGAATTCAATCTTGAAGCTAGTTGCTTCCGGCAACACCATTGACCAGTTTCCGTGCACTTCAATTCCACTCAATAGCTTTTCTCCAAGTCGACCACGCACTTCGCCAACCAACTTACCGAAGAGCGGGCGATTTTTATCTATATGAAAATTTATGCAAGTATGTATCCCCACATCTAGTTTTAAAATTATGGTGCATTTTTTGTCGCCTACCGGTACATTCAAATGAGGCGCCTGGTGGAGGATAGCATTTCTCAACTTCTTCAGCATGGCCCTCACACTCTCGAATCGATTTTGCGTTGACATATTTTCCATCTCGACGTACTGTGCAAGTTCTTGTACGATGGCGTCGTCCGCTTTCACCCAATTCACCTTCGGTTGGAATGGAACAATCTGGAAGGCATTCGGACCACGAGGACCATTGTGACCAGCTGGCACCGGCACTACCGACGCCAGATTGGCTTGGACAGGTTTCATCTCCATCAGTATAAGGCAGCGTGCATTTTCGACTATCCTTTGCACTACCACGGCACAGATGGCCACCGTACAATGGCGCCGGCTCTGTGCATGTGCGGGTACGCGATTGTATCCCCACGCCACATCTTCCTGCACAGGCCGACCATGATGACCAATTCGACCATTCTCCATTGACTATGAGAAAATTAGCAAAATAAAAATTCATGTTTGTACCAGGGCTATGCGAAATTTATTTATCATACCAAATGGTCGTTAATGGCAACCAACCATCTAATTGTGCACCGTCTTAAGTAATGTCTTCAAAGTGTTTATGCCGAAATGAATCAAGCGGTCTCTCTTACTGCCAAACCATCATAAATCGTACACTTCCGATCTCTAGTCTAAATTAATTACATTGACTAGGAAGTTATGAACATCATAAGCAAAGGAAATTGTGCTCGTTTATGGATCCATAATTTCTTACAAGAAAAACATTATTTCTAGACAATCCAAACCAATAGCTACACCTCAAGACTTGGAAAACTATCACTTGAACCATTTCGTACGAGAAGATGAGGGCTTTTGACTGAGCATACCTTTTACTCAGATAACCCAAAGTGAAACCAAGAAGTAAACAGACATTTAAGAAACTTGTTAACTTAAGGTTCAAGTCCACCTCGTATAGTAAAATGCTTAGTTTAAAGGATTAAACTTACTTCGATTGCTTAAATTTGAATTATCTAAGTTGAAACGGTACTTTTAGGAGATCAATAGAAATTAATGGACTCCAACTAAAGCTAGTATTTGTTTGATTAAATATATTTGAAGGACAAGAATTGGAGATAGTCAACCACCTAGAATATTGACAATTTTGCTAAGTTCTTGTATAAACCTCCTTTGAGGACCACATTACGGAAGCATTGGGAGGGGATAAGATCAGAAGTAAAAAATTATTTTAAAGAATATGAAAATATGCTAATTGGTAAATAATCTCTGACTGATTTGTATACTCTATCTTCTTCCTTTCGAGAATATTGAGAATAACCTTTAACCACGGAATTTTGTATCTGAGGTATTGAATAAACTTACGCATTGAATATTCTACCAAAGCTTCAACCTCCTGAAAGCGAGCCTCTCTTCCCAAGCCCTTCATATGTGATTACTTTCAAATTACGTCATAAAATTTTTGTGGTATTCAATAAAGTAAGTTTCCCAATTTAAGGAGTATAAGAGAGTGGTACATTTCCCATCTGGTTTATAATTTCGGGGGCAAAAAATTTGCACGACCAAATAAAGTACATGCAAATCAGATTTATATTCTGTCGAAATGCAACGGATTAAAAATGGCGCAATTAATTTTAATTAAGTAGAAATGTCTCTCCACCATCACGTGAAATGAAGGCGAGAAAAATGTGACTTTTCAGAAAGCGTCACCCTCTACGTGAGTTCTAACGTGCGTGATACGTTGCAATTTCATGCAAAAAAGGAAAGTATTGTTGAAATTCAACAACGCAATAGGATTGCAATTTAAAATTTTGATAAATGCACAATTCTGGGGAAACAACCGCTTTGGAATATCTTCAAAAGTTTTCTTTCCCTTACTTAAAACAAAAGCCCAGGAAACATATTTTTGATATCAAGTTATACACTTTTCTCTTGCCATAGTTTCAGACAACCATTTCATGTGTTGCAATATTAAGTTCAGAATATATATTATAAACATATACTTCTGCTTGGAGTGCATGATAGACTTGCCTCCACATGCGGCCAAAAGTCTATAAACCGGCAGTTGACTCCTGACTTCAAACTACCATGACCTGGCTGTATGCCATATTTCACCACTTCCACAGTACTCACATCACCTTTAACTCTGCCTTTATATTTATCTCTTTTGCATCTGTGAATCAAGCTTCTGTTCCCCCCCCCCTCACGATATTTTTGCGACCTTGAAGTTCCTGCCCTCTTTGAAGACCGATCTCAACTAAATAGATAATGATAACTATCTTAAAACCTGTCATTTGATATAGATAAACAAATAAATATATTGCTGCTTCAATAACTGTCAGTCAAATAATAACACTGGATAGGTGAAAAGTAACTCAAGATTCACAGGCTATCCACATAATGTGAGTTGAAGATTTGGAGACGGATGGAAACATTGTCAATGACACGATTCGTTCAGCTTGAAAATACACGGGTGTTTTTAAGTCTGTTGACTTAAACTCTGTGATAAAGCTCCAAATTTCCCTTAAAAGTCTACATTTCCAGTGACATACTCGGGCTCTTTTGTCAAAAAAAGACTAATATATATATATATATATATTCATTTCCTCTTTTCTACTATTTCACAAAATTAATTTTTTTTCTAAACGCGCTGTTAAAGCAGAGTTGGTCTAAGCGAACCAAGTTGCGACGGTTTGAAACAGACACATAGAAAGTTAATAAAGATAAATTAATTTTTTTGGCCATTCTTGTTTCGCCCAATGGGAGTTAAAAATTGTCTGCTTTGGCTGTAAATTCGGGGGCCGATACTTTTCACTGCTCTAATTCGCACATTCATACACTGGTATCTCCATGCATACTGGTTCAAGTAGATATACTACTGATTGACTTTAGGGTAGCATTCTTACTTAAAGCATGGTTAGAAAACGTTTCGCTCTTTAAGAAATGACAATAAAAGTGGAGAGTAAATGCTTATATCTTGCGCAAACATTTAAGCGAAGCTAGTAAGGACTGTGTGGAATTTTGATACACAGTTTTTAGAAGGCTCTACGCCAAACTGGAAGTTTCCTTTGTACACGCAGCAACTTTAACTTGCGGTATCACCAACTCTACTGACTTCTCGTGTTAGTTCTTATTAGAACCGAGCTCTATGGACAGGCATGTTACAAGGGTAAAAGCAGTCAACTTTGAGTTGGGTTAGGGTTTACAAGAACAAACAAGGAGTTGAATATAGTAGGAAACAAATCCACCCCCCCCCCCCCCCCCTTCACTCGGTGAAGGAGGCAGGGAGAGTTGAGTTGAGAAAATGTATATACGTGACTTATCATTCCACTTATTGTATTGAGGGGACTATTTTGTTTAAACTCTGAGGCTGTAAGACTGGATGAGCATAGGAACTTTTGTCATTCTGAATTTATAGCCATTAGTAAGGACAAAAGCTTATTTATTTTAATCTACTTAAGTATTTGATGCCTATTGGTACACATTCTGTGAGAGAAAATGTTCACCCTTATTGATTATATCTGACTACTACGAAGGAAGAAAGATTCAAAATTTCACTCGGAGCAAAATCCATAATGCTACTATTCTATACAGGATGCGCATTGGAAACGTGTTCCCTCCTAGACTGAGTTGTTAGGAGCAACATTGAATTGCCTTCTTGCAATAAAGGGAAAACTTCTTTTATTATGGTCTTGCCAATATCAATTTCGGCAGTTTTGTAAGCACATATGCCCTGGAATGTCCCGCAGAATGGAAAGAAAAATTGAACACAAAAGCTATGGAATGGAATAGGAAGATGATTAGCAACAGTTCATGTCTGGAAATGATTAGGGAAGATAAGCGAAGTCTTGACCAATACATTGGCTGGGGAAAGTAGAATAAAGTCAGTTTATGATAGCATGCCTTTACGAATAAGAATTTAATATGCAGTCTGTTGGAGACAGGGACTTGGTTACCAAAATGAAGGGCACTCAATGCCGGAAATCTAGATGTAAACAGTTCAGAAAGTGGTCGTCTGGGCAATGCAAACAATTCTCCCCTTCTAAAATGTGCTGGAAATATCTGTTTGACCATTCACGCAAATAACACGTAAATAGTGTGCTGTTATGCACTACGTAATTACCATTTTTAGAAGGATTTGAAGCACGTGAACAGCAACTTAAAATTGATTCTGTTTCATTCAAATTTACTGGTTTCGATGAATTGTAATTATGTATTTGTTGTTAAGCACGGTCGAAGTTGACAGAAATTAACATCGCTGCCAATCTCGAGATCGGAATTTGAGGCAGGAATACTCGTGTTTTTAGACGACTTACCAGGGCATGGATTTTCTTGGCATTCCATGCTTTCACTATCACTACCTTCACACTGGGCACCACCAAATTGTGGAGTGGGGTTATTGCACTGACGAGTTCTACGGCGAATACCACCATCGCAGCTCTTGGAGCAATGAGACCACGGTCCCCACGCACTCCATCCACCATCAATTGGGCAGTTCTTTCTCTCGCAGGCTCGAACCTAAGAGGAAAATAAATTATAAATATATTCGTTCTCCTAGAGCAGATTTTATCTAAAATGCCTTAATTAATAAACCTCTTCCAATTAGAGTTTCACAAATTGACCTTGGTTATTGAATGCTTCTAGATTTTAGCTGAGAATGTTTCTAGGGAGTTTGACGATTGTGAGAATGCTAGTAATCAATAAGATCTTATCATTGCGGCTAAATGTTTACCCTACCTTCAAATTTAAAATTTCACATAACCTTTTAACTACCTCAACTCTTGCCGAAACTTTTTCCGCGCGCATATTCCAGTATAGTTTCCCACATGGCTTGATTTCAACTTTTCCCACTTCTACCAAACACCTACACAGTTTCTTTTACTCCAACGCTTAAAAGTCAACTCCTTCCGTCAGCTCCAATATCCAACTTTTTTGTACCTTCCACTAAGTAATGTTAAAGTGCTATTCCTTTGCCTGCTTCTGAGAGATGGCTCAAAAGGAACTTGCCGGCATCCCCACTTCTAAGTGGAGGTCAAAATACTGAGCCATGCTGTATCCTCAAGGTCGCTATCAAGTTCACCGTGATACTTGAATTGATGAATTTCGGGTGATTACAAGTTCCTCATGGGTCTTTTATGGATTTATTTTAATTAGGGTTTAATTTCCCCTATTAGCGATGTCTGGACTCATTTCATCATTTCATGATGCTCCTTCTCAATGAAATGATGTAATGCTCCTTTTACATACAAACACACGCGCATATATAGTCAGATAAATCCATGCCATTTTGACCCTAGTGCAGATATCTTTCCGGCCTCTCTCACAATCACTGTCTTTCTCTCTTCCAAGATTCACCAGTCCTCCCCAATGCTCCAGTATTTAGTGTTCAGCCCAACCTGCTCTTAAGCTCTGTTATTTGTTTGCTCTTAGTCCAAACGCCTAAATAAACAGGCTAGTTTTTCGTTACATTAAAATTGTGATTTTTCAGTCGATCGGAGAGGAAGTGGAGGAAAGTGAGGGGCAATATTCGAATTCAGAGAATTAAAAATGAGCTAACTTGACTCTCAGGACCATTACATGCCCGACCACCGTTGGCTGGTGGTGGCATATCACATTTGCGTCCACGGCGCTGTGTGCTGCCTGGACCGCAGGTACGTGAACAACTTGACCACGGACCCCATGAGGACCAACCGCCGTTGACTGGACAGAGTGGAAGATCTTCGCAGAGCACATCTTGCATAGCCTCACCCGGACATGCCTGTGGAGTAAAAAAACAAAAATTAATCAGAATCTGATGTTTAGAAGGTAGTTCTTAAATAAAAATTTATATATTAATCTATCGTAAATATTACGCTGATTACTCGTTCTTTAACTTCTTAGAGATGGGCGAACAATGTGACTGAACAAGTCTAGTTAGTATGCAAGCAGGAATTTGATTTGGAAAGAAAACCAATTCAGTCTTTAATGCAAAGAGATTTAATTCTTCAAAATTTTCACGAAAGTCTAAAAACTAATATAGATATTGGTCTTGTTTAAATAGGCTCTAAAGAGGACCTCAATATTGAATGAGATGTGAGATAAATTGAATTTCATAGCTATGTTAATGGATTTTAAACGAGAAGTGCTTTACACAGATGATCAATCGGCTATCGATTTGAGCATTTCATTTTGCGTTCAAGTACCAATGACTTAAATAAACACCTCCCCAAGATTACTTTAATGAGAATCTCAGTATCAAAATATTTCCCACAGGTTCTCGTAAATACTTTAATCAAATAAATGCAATACACTATTTCACTGGTAATGTTATTTAGAATTCACGAAAAAATTGTGATGCAAGGAGTGAATATAGAGGGAAATGATTGTGACAACTAGTTGGGAGAGGTGGCGGATTGGTAAAAAATAATGGCGCCAAAGACAAAACGGGGGGGGGTTAAATCCGTTTAAAATAGCCTTGAAATGCAGCTAGCAATTTGCATAAATTTCATTTCCTCCCATAGAAATGCTTAAATAGGCTGTGAACCATTTGAAAGTGGTATCCTAAAAATAAACAAACTTTCACACCAGATCTTAAGAGGCGATGAATTTTTAGGTCAAGTGTGTAGATCATTTTGGTACTTGTCTGTCTTTGAAATTTTGCAAAGATCTTTCAATCATGTTCAATGTTAATTTCAATTTTATCAAATTTAATTGCTAATTGAGCTGTTAACATACTATCTGAGATTTTATTACTTTTATATAAGTAGGATTCAAAGTTGGAATTTGTCAAGGTGTGCCCAGTGAATATTTTAACACCCGTTTTCATACACCAATCGCATAAATTCAATGCCGCCGCAATTCTCAAATCCTCATGAAGGGTATATATCAACTTCTCAAACCTATTTTTAGGCATCAAATATTAAACTTACATATTGTGGTAATTAGAATGCCAAAATACTTAATAGGAGTTAAAAAATTCATCAAGTGTCTGTCGGTTAGTGATCTTCAAACGATTAACTTTGTAAGGGATGGCAAAGTTAACGGAAACCCTTCCAGGCACAGAAACCAGTTAATTGAGAGCAAAATGCTGATGAGTTGTGTTTATAACGAAAACGGCTGTTCAGAACTGTCTTGCAACTAAACTGAAGATCGCAGGGTTCATAGATGGTCTTAACGTTAAAAATTGAATTTCAATAAAAGTCACAAATATTACCAACTAGTTCCTTGTAATGGCGGAAATAAAATACCGTCAATTCGTTTCAATACCTTGTTCATTCAGAATGTACCTGTTGATTCAAATATGGCAGCGGTTTCAGGTGAACCCTTAAAAAGACATTTCTTCGACGTGTAACCATGTAGATATGTTAAAAGTTTCTATTAATTGACGTTAGAATGTTTACCTGAAGTAAGCAAAACTTCGAGAGCTCTGTTAAATGAAAAGTTTTGTTAACTCTTCCCTACTATGTCAAAACCGTAAGATGAAGTAGAGTATGATGATGTGGTAGCCATTAAACACTGAACATCGTAGAAGATTCATATTTGTAATCTTGTGGGCGAATTGTGATATTTGAATATTAGAATGTGAACTTCCGAATGAGCAACCAAAGTAAGTGTCAATTTAAGCAAAACTCTCGGATACCTCAATGATACCTCCATGCAATTAGGTCTCCACCACTTAAACATTTGTTTAGCAGAGCTTGTTCCCACAATTTAAAGGTAAAGATCTTTTTACTTCTGGGGGTAATGGAAGTAGTGAAAGTGGACATCACCTATGATTATTACAACGGTCCTGGTGACTGGCTTCTAACCCCTGAATTATGAATAGAAGCGAAGTTGCTAAAGTGAATAGCAATACTCATGGCATGGAAGTGGAAACAGATGAAGTAAATTGCAGTTAATCGTGAACTTTCGGTGAATTGGTGGGTGAGTTGTGCAAAAGACAAAATTTAATCAGACAAATTACAAGTGGCAAAGGAGTCATCAGAGAGTTGGATTCACTATCCCCCCCCCCCCCCCCCCCCCCCCCCGCTGAACTACGAATTTGATTCTGACAGTTCAAATACAATCGACTTCAGTTGTCCTTGCTTTACTTGTATAAAGTGAAGTTCTGCCGCATACAAAGGTGTACTTATTTTTAAAAGTACATTTCAGTAACATTAATACAGGAATTCAAAGCAAATGCTATTTTAAGCAAAACAAATATAATGCTGTATGTTCTAAAGAATAATTTCTCCAATTTTCTAAGGGAAGGAATTATTTAATAGGTGTAATTTTGGCAAGCGATTAGGATTCATAATGAATATTAAATGATGTAAGAAGAACAATGAACAATAGAATGACTGAATGAAACTAAGATTTCTCAAGGTCGTGGTGTGAAGTTATGACCTCTTTTAATCATAAAGGCCACATTTCTAAATTGTTTCTAAAGGAGTCTGTTCGACTCTTGCTTTTAGAGTAGTGGTGCACAACTTGAATTAAATAGCAGCT